TGGTCTCACCAGTGCTGACTAGAGGGGAATAATCACTTCCCTTGATCTACTGGCAATGCTCCTACCAATGCAGCCCAGTATGCCATTAGCATTCTTTGCAACAAGGGCACACTGTTGGCTCATATTCAGCTTACTTTCCACCATAACTCTGAGATCCTCTTCTGCAGAGTTGCTGCTTAGCCGATCAGTCCCCAGCCTGTACTGGTGCATTGGATTGTTCCATTCTAAGTACGGGACTTTGCACTTGTCCTTATTGAACCTCATAAGATTTTTTTTGGTTCAATCCTCCAATTTGTCAAGAACTCTGTGAATCCTAGCTGTACCTTTCAGCATATCTACTACTCCCCCCAGCTTGGTGTCATCTGCGAACTTGCTGGGGCTGCATCTCCCATCTTCCAGGTCATTGATGAAGATATTAAACAAAACCAGCCCCAGGACTGACTCCTGTGGCACTCCACTTGATACCAGCTGCCAACTAGACATCAAACCATTGATTATCACCCTCTGAGCCCAATGCTCCAGCCTGTTTTCTATCCACCTTACAGTCCATTCATTCAGCTTGCACTTCCTAGCTTGCCTTCGAGAAGGCAGTGGGAGAGCATATCAAAAGCCTTGCTAAAATCAAGGTATACCACATCACTGGTCTCCCTGCATCCACAGATCCAGTCATCTCATCATAGAAGGAAATCAGGTTAGTCAGGCATGACTTACCCCTGGTGAATCCATGCCAACTGTTCCTAATCACCTTCTGCTCCAAATGCTTAGAAAGGGATTCCTTGAGGACCTGCTCCATGATTTTTCCAGGGACTGAGGTGAAGCTGACTGGTCCATAGTTCCCTGGATTCTCCTTGCCTTTCTTAAAGATGGGCACTATATTTGCCCTTTTCTAATCATCCAGGACCTCTCCCAATCACCATGAGTTTTTAAGGATTGTGGCAAGTGGCTCTGCAATCACACTGGCGATCTCCTTCAGCAGACATGGGTTTCTTTAAAGTACAGCCTGCAGTCCTGGACTCTTCTCTCCCTCGGACTAGCCTCCCAGGAAATCCTGCCCATGAGTTCCCTGAGTGAGTCAAAGTCTGCTTTTTTTGAAGTCCAAGATCCTTACTCCGCAGACCCTTTCTCAGCTCTCCTTCCTTCCTTTCCTCAGGATTCTGAATTCAATCATCTTGTGGTTGCAGCTGCCCAAGTTGCCATCCACTACTACATTCCCCATCAATTCTTCCCTGTTTGCAAGCAGCAGATCAAGAAGAGCATGGCCCTAGTTGGTTGCTCCAGCACCTGCACCAGGAAGTTGCCCCCAATACTCTCCAAAAACTTCCTGGATTGCCTGTTCACTGCTGTTGTGCTCTCCCAGCAGATGTCAGGGTGATTTAAGTCCTCCATGAGAACCATGCCTGTGATTGGCAAACTTGTGCTAACCGTTTAAGAATACATAGGGGGCCACTTATACACGTGCAGCGAAGCTGCTCCAATGCACTGTAATTACAGAAATTTCGATTAACTGAGTTTGCTGGAGCATAGTAATTACTATGCTCCAGCAGACTCCAGCATCATGTGCATCTATGTCCCTACACTGAAAAATAGTTGTAGGGGCACTTTAACTAAAGCTCGTTCATTTTTCAGTGTGGGGATGCTAATACATGTGACGTTCCAGGAACTTTAATTAGAGCAGCTCTTGGAGCTGCTCTAATTAAAGTGCAGCCCCCTCCTCCCCCGAGCACATTTATAAACGCCCAGGAAACCCATAAACTGAAACTCAACATTTCTTCCCCTCTGAGCAGATTGTTTCCACAGGAGTATGGGGCTGTGGGTTCAAGGGGAATCAGTCCTGTGTTCCTCTCATTAGCTTATCTTTTTTCACATATAACAACAACACAAGTATGTAAACTGTATGATCAGGCTTCCCAAAGTTAACTGCTTTTCTAAAGTGTTTTAATTATTTTTCATATGTAGAAATAAAGCCCTTTGACACATTCATAGTTTTGTGGAACGAAGAATGGACCTTAAGAATTGGCAGGCAATGAACTGATGGTTTAATTTTGAGGGCTTAAGACACTTGTGTTTTAAACTATTACTCAAGAAACCATAAAAAACACAAAGGAATTCTGTTCCTCCAGAAGTGAAACACTCCATGGAGGTTTAAAATTGTGTACATTTCCTGATGCCAACTTAAGAGCTGCAGATGTTTATTTCATGCCTCCCTAATTTGTATCTATTAAAAGGTTTTATAAGGACTCATCCTAAAAAAATAATTAGGTAGGAAAACAGCAGCTATATAAATGATGAATGTTGGCATTTTAAAATACAGTAGAATTCTAAGACAGGAAAGAGTAAGGATAATGAGTGAAGCTTCAGGCTACACAGTGACTGACAGTTACTTCTTTCTGCTAAGTGAGGTCATATTAGTCTCATATAAAGATGTAAAGTCAGAATGAGGAGGGGAGGAGATAAGCATGCAACACTGACTTTTAAAACGGAGGCAAGACGTTCTTTAATCCTTTGTCAATTAGGGCTGGTTTTCTGACATTGATAAGAGAGCTGAATGACCTTTTGCAGGTTAGCTGATATTTGTGTTCTCTTCCATGAAAATGGATGCCAAATTGATAAAAATAGTACCTACTTTAAATACACCACTCACAATATTCACATTTGTTTTCACTGATGCAAGATCTAACATGAGAGCAAATGACAACCCTGGAGCCAGCTGAAAAACTGTTAGTATAATACACGGGAATACAGGACTGAAAGGAACCTCTTGGATCTGAGTCCAGTTGTCTGCTATTGTATACAATCATGTCATAAACTAAAATGTCAGACATAAAATGTCAGATATGGTTATAAAACGAAAGCTGTGGGTTTTCTAATCTTACAGGATCCAGCATACCTATTTACTTAAAAAAACCCCAACCCCTTAAACGTGATAAAAATGAAATATATGATATGCTTCTTACCCCATTTTATGCTAATCCTTTCAGAGGTAATCTGATACAGAAGGATAAATTAACCAACGTGTCCTGAATAAAATGTTGAAAGGTGAGCCAAATACGTGAAACATTTGATGACCAGTCAGACTCTTCTTTTCATAACAAGTATTTTATTCCTACCCTCTGTTCATATAAATTAATGCATAACAATAGATAGAAATACATTTAAAAATATAATATAGGAGCCACACTCATCTCTTGTCCTATTGTCACAAATTTCTAAAGAAATTCTATTTATATTGACAAAAAAATCAGAACAAGAACATTCAAGCTTTCATTTTCATTGAAATGTTAAAAGTTGTTGACAAGTATAAATCATTACATTGGTTTGAATGAGGTAATTGGTAATACCGTTTAAAAAAAGGGATATGATATATAAGATTTTCCAGAGATATTAACAGAAATCAGGAACTTTTGTCAAAGCTGACACAGTAACTAAGAGAGTCCATCTTCTGCCTCATGCTATGGTTGATAAAGTACAGAGCAGGATAGTTCATCTTCTTGCACCAGAAGCTCAAGACTGCAGTGTTGTGCCATGAAGTACAAGGAAGAAAAGAGTTTAAAAGGGTAATGTAAAATGAAGGGTCATGTTTTAAGGAATAGTTGTTCCACCTTCTGAACTCTGGCTGGAATTATTAAGTTATTATGCAGTTGCCATTCTGAAAATGGCTGGACAATACATCATGAATACCTCAGTCAGAGTGTTCCTTTTGCCAACAAGCCTTGCTGTCAGCAAGTACCCATGAATTGCTGTTAGAACCCAGTCACTTAATGAAAGTGAATCATCTTGGGATAATGGGGTGCACAATCTGGGGAAAGACACTTCCTCCCCTAGCCTGAAGGGAAGGGGAAAAATGGAAAAAAATAGAAAAAAAACAGCAACAAGACAGAGACAGAGGTAACAAGGGTGGGTTTAATTAGGACTCAGGGGGAAGGATTCATAAGACACAGAAGAGTATGGCAGAAGGAGTGTTCAAGCATGCTTCTATAGCAGTGAGGCTTACTTTCACTACCAGACAAAGCAATGTAAGGAAAGAGAAGTTTAATTGTAAGATTCCAGAATGGAGAAACAAACCATACATTATAGCAGAGAACTTCTGGACCACCCCAAAATAACCCTGAGAGAAGAGTGAGTTAGAGAGGGGGACTGCATTTATGAAATGTGTTGTTTCCTTATGTTCTGTATCCTCTTCTGTTTTCTTTTAAGTAAAGCAACAGTTTACAAATTCTGAGCAAAGCCTGTTTGTCAAGGGTCTAGGGGTCTGCTTCATAACAACTACCACATGCTTCCTGGAGAGCCAAGCTATAAACCAGAAGGCTCAAATCTTTGGTGAGATTTTGGGAAAAGGAGTGTTTAAGCTATCATGGGAGTATGAGAACTCAATATTGAATGCTGAAGATGAGCAGCTGGACTGTGGATTTCAATCCCCAGGACAGGGTGCCAGACAGAGGATTGGCACCCCAAAAATATGCCTAAATAGCCAAAGATTGAAAAGTCAGGGTGCCTTTACATGTGCACTGACGTGTTCTGATTAGAACGTGTCAGAGCAGACTCAATTAACTGAGAGTGCTGGAGCATTCTAATCAGAACGCTCCAGTGTGCTGCAGTGTCTTGTGTATTCAGCACCCCCACGTTTCAAAATGGCGGTGGGGGCACTTTAACTAAAGCTCGTCAAATGAGCTTTAGTTAAAGTGCTCCAGCGGCCATTTTGAAACATGGGACACTGAATACATGAGACACTGCGGGTGTTTTCATTAGAGGGGCTACCAAGAGTATGTGTACATGCACCCTCAGAGTCCAGAGGCTTAACATACTTAGGCCGTTTATACACATGCTCCAGGAGGCTGGGAGGAGAGTGGGGTGCTTTAGCTAGAGTGGCTCTGAGAGCGACTATAATTAAAGCACCTGGAGCATCACATGCATCAGCATCCCCGCACTGAAAAATGGTGGGGAGGTGCTTTAACTAAAGCTTGTCAAATGAGCTTTAGTTAAAGCACCCCTGCCATCATTGTTCAGTGCAGGGATGCTGATACACATGACTCTGGAGTCTGTTGGAGCACGGTAATTACCACGTTCCTATTAATTGAGTCTGCTCCAACGTGCTGTAATTACAGCATGTCAGAGCAGCCTCAATGCACATGTATAGGGGCCCTTAGGTACTTGGCCACTCTAGCAATTTGCTAAGTGGCCCACAGGGGGTGCTTGTCTTGATTTCATCATAAACTCAGAGTCTGCTTTTAGATAAAGACAATGGTTGCTGTTAATAATAATGGAATATCCCCAAAGAAGTGAGATCAGCAATTAATCAGAGTAATGCTCCGCTATATGGTAACAATGACGATGGGGATTGCAGTATTGTGAGAAGAGGTCTGTCCTCCTACAGATTTCTAAGCATTCCTACTGAGGGTCAGATTTACATGGAAAAGGTGAAAAAACAAAGTCACACCTGTTTTCTTTATCTGTTTCTTTACTATAGAGTGTCTTCCACTAGTAAGATTTGTCTTGTGGCAGGCATAAAATCAATAATTAATTCCTCCTTTCATATTTGAAGTCTGGATGGTCCTGCCTCTATGACTCATTAGAACTTTCTAGCTGAAGCGGTAGGGAAGAAGGTACCAATTTAGAGAGATGTCACCGACAAAGAATAGCCAAACAACAGATTTATGATTTTAACAACGCGCCAAATGGAGTAAAATTAGATCTCCAATACTTCTTAAGAGCAAGCAGAATTGAATATTTAAGGGATAAAATCAGTTACAGGAGTAAAACAAACAAGGTTAAAAATGATCAGACTAAGACCCTGAGTCTACCACACGACTTCACCACAGGCATAACTTCCAGACTGCAGTGAGGTATTCTACATCCAAGGCCCCCAGGCTCCAGTTGCTTCTGGGTCACACCGGGGATCTTCATCAGGGTAGAACACAGGCACAGACTGTTTATAATAGTATTGAAGCCGAGAGAGCATTTTTTTCACAATACCAGGATATTTTTCAGACAAATCATTTCTCTCCTCAGCATCCTGAACAATATCAAAAAGCCAAAGATTCTTTGTTGGTGGGTCAGGTGAAGGGATTGTTGACTCACTGACCAAAGATGGTGGTGGGAACCAGTGACTGCAGCCTACAGAAACAGAAACAGGTAAAGGGTTAGTTCTCAGACACACAAGGAAGAACAGCCTCACACTCCAGATATCATGTTTAGTTCGACTTGCTTAATTTCAAAGAAAGCAGTTTCTAGATTGCCTTCCAGAATCCTGCAGTAGAAGAACACAAACCCAGATTTAAAAAAAAAATCACAATTGTGTGTCTCACTTTAAGAGTGCTTCTAGATTTTTGCATTACATGGTAAATCATGCAAATAGGGCAAAAGAATAAATAAAATAAATGCAAAGTATATAGCATAAGAAATAGAATGAAGTGGTAAAAAACTTGCCAAAAAATCATTTCAATACCTGGATATCCAGTTAGTAGCTTCCATCTTCCATGTCGAATTGCAGCATGTATAGATAAATTGAAGAGTGAATTGTCCCATGAAAAAACATTATCCTGGGGTAAAGATGTCCTGTTGTCAATACCAAGACCTTAATAGAACAATAAACTAGAATTATATATATACTACACTTATAAAACCTTTTTTTTTGGATTTTGTTACAAAACCAATATAATTCAATTTTAGAAAACTAACACATACTGGCAACAGACGCATTCCATAACAATAGAAAGAGTTAGGTCACTACCAAGCTTAGATAAGACTGCTGTTTCTAACACTCATTATACTTTATTTGTATACCTGTTCTAGTATAATGGGACAATTTTTTGACTTTCACATTTAACTTGTACCCACAAAAGCTGTTTACATACACAGATAGTTGTGATTTAATAGTGTACTTTAGGTAACTGCATATGCAACTACCAGTTTGTATGCATCTTGCTATGTGCATGCCTACACCTATTTTCTATCATTCACAATAGCAAGACAGTTCTTGTAATAAGATCAGAAACAATGGCATAAAGCAGTGTGAAGGGTCACTCAGTTTGCTGCCCTGACATCTTTCAGGAGTGGGTTCCATTATAAGGTCTTAATTGAAAACTGTTGAAGTAGGGAGCCTAAGAGACCAGCATAGTAGATTTTTTGCACCTGAAGCAGAAGCAGAAAAATGCATATTGCTGGTGTTAGCATTTTGTGAGAATCACTGCTAGTAGTAGTACTGGAGGTATTACAGCAAACAAATTCTTCAGGTCACAGAGAAGCAAACATACACTGCAAAGGAAACATCAAAGGAAGTTTGAAAAGAAGAATCCAATTTCCTAAGAAGCTAACTTCTTTTTTTTTTTAAAAGAAGAGTTTCCTTAAATGTGCTTAATCTTAATTCATGCTACATTTAATAAAAGGATCAGGGGGCTCAGCACAGCTTAGGACATGCATAGTTGAAAAAAATGCACTGATAGTGAGGTTAATGATTATAACAACCCTTTAGAAAAATTCTGCATCCGTGGGAGATGTCTGCAGCAGATATCTGGCTTTTCAGAGATTAACACTGCTTACTTTTCAATGTCTGTACAATGTATGCAAGTCTGTCATACTGTGAGCTACTGGAAATACATATCTTTGTCACTTTTTTAAAAAGCAGCATAATGACAGGGTTATTCCACACAACAGCTCACGCATGCCTGATTTCAAAGCATTATTGGTATAATGCTAACAGAGAAAAGTTTAATGTTTCTTCTTCTTTGTTGAGTTTTAATTTAAGTGAGACTGTTCAGATTGCTGAGATACAGTATGCGAGGATATATATACTGTTAGGGTCTAAATTATTCAAAGTATTTCAAATAAATTATATAAAATGTTTATATTACAGATGTTTTTGGTATGTTACATTCAAACTACCTTTTGCAAGACACATATTTATTAAAAGCCCAGAAGGTATGCCTATTAAAATTCTCATTTGTTCAGAAGGAAAAAAAATGATATACTGAAAAGAACTGCAAAACATTCTGTACTTTTTGAAATACACTTACCAGAGCTTGCATTCAAAAGTAATATTTTGCATAAAATGTATCCAGAAAATAAGAAATATATTTTTTGCTCTCTCTTGATACAAATATTAATAGAAATATAGATATATACACACAGACCTACAGGCACTCACAATTTATTTGCCACAAGGCAAAATTACAAATTGTCTGTTCTTCAGACCAATATATTGTTTCATACAGAGTACGAATCAGCTCTTTCCAGAATTGGCACCTGTAGAGAGCAAGTCCATATTCACTTAAGAACAGCATATGCTAGTGATTGAGACCTAACTATTGATATACAGTACTAATCCCTACAGTATCTAGCCACCAGACACAAGGTAAGTAAAATAATTATTTGATAATGACTCTATACTTGTCCTTCTAAGATTTGTCTTCTTATGCTTGGATTATTTTCCTTGTATTTCTCTTTTGTTCTCACTACTACACCTTCTGCCCTCTTCATATTTATTCCCCAGTTTCTGTTATTGCTGGTAAATGTGTGCAAAGGAAAAAGGTGATCTTTGCAGTGTGCTCTGTGTAAGTCCATCTAGACTCATTGGCTAGGTCCAGACATTAAAAAACCCTCTGGTGAGGGGTGCAAATCTTAGACTGGGTTCCACCATTTTTAAACCAGCCTGTGTGTGCTGAACTTCTGTTCTGTTACAGATATAAACTGGTTTCTGATCACTTATATGGAACACTCACCCCTAGCTCTGAATCCAGTCCCCTGATATGAAAAGAATCACATAATATAATTCTTTACACCAGGGGTCGTCAACTGGGGGGTACGTGTAGCCCTATCGGTACTTAGAAAGGTCACAGGGGATTTGCGCAGGGGGACAAGGATGGAGTGCGCCTTGAGGCTGCAAGCAGACCTGGACAGGTTGGACAAGTGGGCAGAAAACAACAGAATGCAGTTCAACAAGGAGAAATGCAAAGTGCTGCACCTAGGGAGGAAAAATGATCGGCACACCTACAGCCTAGGGAATGACCTGCTGGGTGGTACGGAAGTGGAAAGGGACCTTGGAGTCCTAGTGGACCCCAAGATGAACATGAGTCGGCAGTGTGATGAAGCCATCAAAAAAGCCAATGGCACTTTATCGTGCATCAGCAGATGCATGACGAATAAATCCAAGGAGGTGATACTTCCCCTCTATCAGGCGCTGGTCAGACCGCAGTTGGAGTACTGTGTGCAATTCTGGGCGCTGCACTTCAAGAGGGATGCGGATAACCTGGAGAG